TGGTCGCTGGCTGGGACTTTTTATTACTCAACTCCCAAATATTCCTGATCACTGATTCGGATCCTTTATCACAAGAACCCCAGCCTTGTGACTCTACGGTCCTAGTCCCTGATATTTAATTGGGACCGTATATCACATGACTTCCTGCCTTGTGACCCTACGGTCCTTGTCCCTGATAATTGATTGGGACCCTACATCACATAAATCTCAGTCTTGTGACCCTATGGTCCTAATTCCTGATCACTAATTCGGATCCTTTATCACAAGAACCTCTGCCTTGTAACTCTACGGCCCTAGTACCTGATATTTGCTTGGACCCTATATCACATACCTCCCAGCCTTGTGACCCTACGGTCCTTGTCCCTGACAATTGATTGGGACCCTATATCACATAAATCTCAGTCTTGTGACCCTATGGTCCTAATTCCTGATCACTGATTCGGATCCTTCATCACGAGAATCCCAGCCTTGTAACTCTACGGTCCTAGTCCCTGATATTTGATTGGAACCCTATATCACATGACTCCCTGCCTTGTGACCCTATGGTCCTTGTTTCTGATTACTGATTACACACTAGTCTCCAAGATCTGCAATGCATACAGTCTAATAGATTACAAAATCATGTCTATCACTAGAATCACACCTCACTGAAACACCTTTGTGTACTACAATTCAGTCTTGTGACTTTGTCGGATTCTATTTGGAATGTCTTCCCGTAGAAACTTGATGCGCTCTTGGTATAGATCTTGACCTAGTTCTGGATCGACCTTCAAATCCATGTAGTAGCGCCCTCTATTACTGAATGTCTTCCACGGAATCAAACTGGGACCATTTGGGTTTCTGTAAATAATAACAATGAGTTAATAGGCATAATCTTGAAAAATCCGCTGCATTCAAGAACTTCGATAACTTCAATGAATGCAAATAAACACATGATGATATATCAAAGAGATGTGTAAACCATCTACGGGTAAAAGCATTACGTCAATAACATCTTAGTATCATAGTATTTGTCTCTACTGTAACTAAAGTGTTTTAACTTGTGTTCTCTGTGTAATTCATTGTAGTGTGTCACACCTGATAGTGTAACTGTAAACGTAAGTGTACCTAATTTTGTGCTGTCAAATTTTAGCGCTTTAGAATTTATCGGCAATTCGCAATGATAAATCCTATCAATAACCTAACCGCAATAATCGTTAAATGACTACAAATGAAATTTGTTCTTAAAATCAGATTACAGCCTAAATGTGTTCTTCACATTACATAAATATTGCATGTGATGATGTTTCTTTCTCGCGTGCAATCGTGATATTATTTGATTTTTATATATTTGTATGGGAAATTTAAAACATTAAAACTTAAATTTAATTTCTCTTGAAACTGATTACCTCTTTGGGGGGATTGTAATTTTCCCTCCACATCGATGGAGTTTTAAGGTTTTTACCAAACCTTCTTTCTTGACCGTAATAAAACTTACCCTGTTTTGGCGAAGTTAGTCCAATAGGATACGACCGTGTCTCTTAGTGATATCGCTGCCGTACTTTGTAAGGATTCGTCATCACTAATCCCTGATGGACCGAACATGAACAGACAATCCACGGCATGACCTGCACCCTTAGACCAGGGGAAACTTGGCGTAAGAAAGGAAAAGTGGATTTCTTGTGTGAACAAGTAATGGTAGGTGTTGGAATCCGTTTTCCCTTCTGAATGAAAGTCAAGAAGAGACACTGTTGGAGCGACAAATTGTAAGTCACCGTACAAAGCCGCGAGACTTCTAGACTGGTCCACTAAATTGTCCTCCTTATATCTTTCACATATCATGTCGGACACGACAGTATTGTCTTCATACTTGTCTCTGGCTATCGCTGGTGCGAATAGGTCACACAACACAGAGGTAGGTATACCTTCAGACAGTTGGAAGTTCATGGGCTCCTGCAAGTGGAAAAGTATAAACGGAAGCAGCGAAGCTTCATTGTCTGTAGTTCCTGCTATCAAATCCACAGATTGAAAGCGTTGGAATTCCTTGGAACTGGGATCTTTTAAGCTTTCCATAGGTCTCCTTACAATTAGATCATCATCTACGACTGGCCAGAGATGAACGGACATAGAGAAACCACCGGAGTGCAAAGTCGCGGGGTCTAATTGCGCTATGAGCAAATCTTCAGCAGATTTTGTCTTCAGACAACTTACCAGAGCCTCGTTGTCAATGGATGAGTTGGTGATACATCCAACATGACTACCAACTTTCTCCGTAATTTTCATTGGGTTCTCGCTTAAAAATAAAGGACCTGCTGTGCTTCCGCTCTGAGCGATAGCCCTCTGGAATAACCCTTCAGTCAATGGAATAAGAGACAAGAAAGAAACAGCAAAGCCTCCTGCCGACTCCCCAAAAATGGTAACCATGTTCGGATCACCTCCAAAGGATGCTATGCTTTTGTTCACCCATCTTAACGCTTCGATCATGTCCCAGAGTCCGTAGTTGCCTGGAAGTTTGGAATCTCCTGAACTTAAGAATCCAAACAGCCCAACACGGTACTGAATGGTCACTACTACTACATCTTTCAGAACAAAGTACGAAGAATCGAACAGAGCAGCAGAGCCACCAACAAAAGCCCCGAAGTGAATCCAGACCATTACCGGTTTCTTAACTTTGGGCGAAGCAGATTCTGGAACATATACATTTAAATGTAAACAATCTTCTGATGTTTCCTTATTTTCTAGCTTATCCCACATCTCTGGCAAAACGTTGGTATCCTGGATACAGGACGGTCCAAATTTAGTGCCGTCTAGAGTGTCTGTCCACGGTTCTACGGGAACAGGCTTCTCAAATCGGAGTTTACCTACGGGAGGTTTGGCATACGGGATGTTACGGAATTGTATGACGTCCTGTCCGAGGACCGGTACAACCACGCCTCTGACGGGACCCAAGGGAGTGTTGACTTTTGGGACAGATTGGCCCATAGACGCCACAACAATGAAGGCCAACAACAATGTTAACATCGGGATCATGGTGGTTTCTGGAAAATATATATACATACTTTTATCGCTAAACAGTCTTTACCCAAGTCAATGAGGTTATCTTTAGATATCAGTGACAGGGTGTTATTACATGTTATATCACAAGAGGCCTATAAAGATAGGTTGATACGTTAGGTTCAGGGACTAGGATATTCGGGTATGTATTTATTGGAAATTTGGATTGCTATGTCTAGGACTATATGCAATCATATTCAGTATACAATTAGCTGTGATGGTGCAAATCAGAATTTTATATGATTGTCATTCGCAATAGTTTCACTCTATTCTGGTTTGTTTCTGGTACGACTCAATGTTATACTGTAGATCGGCACTACAAAGTACGGTGTTTTCTCTATGATTTTCATTCTTTTTCCTTGTACAGAGTTTCAACTGTGTATATTAACATACTTTATTGATACAAATATTAAACGACCAATTCTGGTAGTACTCTTTGTTAAGCATACTATTGTGACGTATGTGTATACTGTGATAATGACGCAATAGTATTATCACATATTTATGTATAACGTCTGTAATACCGACTGCAATAATGGATGAAAAAAATACCAGAAATATTGTAGAAATATTGTCCTCGATACAATTGTGAAAAATCTCCAACACGTAGTACTGTCATGACAGTATAATGTTACTAGCTCGATACATCGGGAATGTTTCACTCACCACGTGCTTCCGAAGCTGGCAATCGACGCCGTATTTGTGTATGCCTGATGTATACCTTTCACGACGAACTCTCAGTGTGCCTGTGCGTGTTGTTGAGGCATCCTGTTGTAAATACACTGTATTCTAAATTTGATTGTTTGTATTTATCATACTTGTGTCTTTTAATCTTGTTCATACCGCTGTATCATTTCCGTGTTCGCGTAAGCGTTCGTGAACTTTCATTATGTCGCGTATACATGTACGTTATGTTTAGTTGGCCCTTAATGTTTTAGTGTTGTTCTAAATGGCAGTTTATAACAGAGGATGTACCGTCCTTCTGTTCGGATGTCCTGAGAGTTTATAATAAAAAAAATCTACCGTCCTGCGGTTTGGATGTCCTGAGTGACAGTTTATAACAGAAGATGTACAGTCATACTTTCTTAATGTCCTGACTAATGGTTTATAACAGAATATCCAATGTTCTCCTGTTTCGATGTCTTGAATAACAGTTCATAACAGAACATGTACTGTCGTCCTGTTTGGATGCCCTGACTGATGGTTAATAGTAAAAGATAAACCGTCCTCCTATTTGGATGTCCTGATTGACAGTTTATAGCAGAAGATGTAACGTCCTCTGGTTTGGATGTCCTTGCTTAGATGTTTTAAATTCATATCATAAATATCTTATTAAAAGAAATACGAAAGCTTGTAGTTGTTCATGTTGCTTTAATTATAGTATCTACTATCTAAAACAAAGTTTTTTTTTTAATTTTGCTATTTTCATACCAATCATCAAATCCATGTTTACATGACGAATGATAAAAAGAAATGATTCTGATGTAAAATCTATCCATTAACGATGACCAATATTGGTCGAAGCACCTAAAAGTGAATGGAAGGACTCGTTGGATTTTTTACCCTTAAGGTAATACCACATGAGAAACATTTATATCAGACTTTGCCTGAAAGACAACACCTATATCTTATCCCGGTCTGGCTTACGTACATCATGTCTCTGGTACCTAAATGATCACATTAGATGTCTGAGGGATGATCAGAATGCAAAAGTGTTTCTTTTCCAGCACCCAGCATCATTCAGTGATCCAAATTCACTGTTCAATTGACTTGTGGTACTACTTCCCGATTTTTTATCTGGTCCATATATTTTACTTGAACCCAGTATCATAACTTGTGGTTCAATCCTAATCACCTCCTGTAAACCTTTATCACATAACTCTTAGTATTTAAACCCTGTGGTCCTTTCTCCTAACTGCGACACTATGTCACATGAATATAAGCTTTGTAGCCTGGTCGCTGGGTGGGACTTTTTATTACTTAACTCCCAAATATTCCTGATCACTGATTCGGATCCTTTATCACAAGAATCCCAGCCTTGTGACTCTACGGTCCTAGTCCCTGATATTTGATTGGGACCCTATATCACATGACTTCCTGCCTTGTGACCCTACGGTCCTTGTCCCTGATAATTGATTGGGACCCTACATCACATAAATCTCAGTCTTGTGACCCTATGGTCCTAATTCCTGATCACTAATTCGGATCCTTTATCACAAGAACCCCTGCCTTGTAACTCTACGGCCCTAGTCCCTGATATTTGCTTGGACCCTATATCACATACCTCCCAGCCTTGTGACCCTACGGTCCTAGTCCCTGATATTTGATTGGAACCCTATATCACATGACTCCCTGCCTTGTGACCCTATGGTCCTTGTTCCTGATTACTGATTACACACTAGTCTCCAAGATCTGCAATGCATACAGTCTAATAGATTACAAAATCATGTCTATCACTAGAATCACACCTCACTGAAACACCTTTGTGTACTACAATTCAGTCTTGTGACTTTGTCGGATTCTATTTGGAATGTCTTCCCGTAGAAACTTGATGCGCTCTTGGTATAGATCTTGACCTAGTTCTGGATCGACCTTCAAATCCATGTAGTAGCGCCCTCTATTACTGAATGTCTTCCATGGAATCAAACCGGGACCATTTGGGTTTCTGTAAATAATAACAATGAGTTAATAGGCATAATCTTGAAAAATCCGCTGCATTCAAGAACTTCGATAACTTCAATAACTTCAATGAATGCAAATAAACACATGATGATATATCAAAGAGATGTGTAAACCATCTACGGGTAAAAGCATTACGTCAATAACATCTTAGTATCATAGTATTTGTCTCTACTGTAACTAAAGTGTTTTAACTTGTGTTCTCTGTGTAATTCATTGTAGTGTGTCACACCTGATAGTGTAACTGTAAACGTAAGTGTACCTGATTTTGTGCTGTCAAATTTTAGCGCTTTAGAATTTATCGGCAATTCGCAATGATAAATCCTATCAATAACCTAACCGCAATAATCGTTAAATGACTACAAATGAAATTTGTTCTTAAAATCAGATTACAGCCTAAATGTGCTCTTCACATTACATAAATATTGCATGTGATGATGTTTCTTTCTCGCGTGCAGTCGTGATATTATTTGATTTTTATATATTAGTATGGGAAATTTAAAACATTAAAACTTAAATTTAATTTCTCTTGAGACTGATTACCTCTTTGGGGGGATTGTAATTTTCCCTCCACATCGATGGAGTTTTAAGGTTTTTACCAAACCTTCTTTCTTGACCGTAATAAATCTTACCCTGTTTTGGCGAAGTTAGTCCAGTAGGATACGACCGTGTCTCTTAGTGATATCGCTGCCGTACTTTGTAAGGATTCGTCATCACTAATCCCTGATGGACCGAACATGAACAGACAGTCTACGGCATGACCTGCACCCTTAGACCAGGGGAAACTTGGCGTAAGAAAGGAAAAGTGGATTTCTTGTGTGAACAAGTAATGGTAGGTGTTGGAATCCGTTTTCCCTTCTGAATGAAAGTCAAGAAGAGACACTGTTGGAGCGACAAATTGTAAGTCACCGTACAAAGCCGCGAGACTTCTAGACTGGTCCACTAAATTGTCCTCCTTATATCTTTCACATATCATGTCGGACACGACAGTATTGTCTTCATACTTGTCTCTGGCTATCGCTGGTGCGAATAGGTCACACAACACAGAGGTAGGTATACCTTCAGACAGTTGGAAGTTCATGGGCTCCTGCAAGTGGAAAAGTATAAACGGAAGCAGCGAAGCTTCATTGTCTGTAGTTCCTGCTATCAAATCCACAGATTGAAAGCGTTGGAATTCCTTGGAACTGGGATCTTTTAAGCTTTCCATAGGTCTCCTTACAATTAGATCATCATCTACGACTGGCCAGAGATGAACGGACATAGAGAAACCACCGGAGTGCAAAGTCGCGGGGTCTAATTGCGCTATAAGCAAATCTTCAGCAGATTTTGTCTTCAGACAACTTACAAGAGCCTCGTTGTCAATGGATGAGTTGGTGATACATCCAACATGACTACCAACTTTCTCCGTAATTTTCATTGGGTTCTCGCTTAAAAATAAAGGACCTGCTGTGCTTCCGCTCTGAGCGATAGCCCTCTGGAATAACCCTTCAGTCAATGGAATAAGAGACAAGAAAGAAACAGCAAAGCCTCCTGCCGACTCCCCAAAAATGGTAACCATGTTCGGATCACCTCCAAAGGCTGCTATGCTTTTGTTCACCCATCTTAACGCTTCGATCATGTCCCAGAGTCCGTAGTTGCCTGGAAGTTTGGAATCTCCTGAACTTAAGAATCCAAACAGCCCAACACGGTACTGAATGGTCACTACTACTACATCTTTCAGAACAAAGTACGAAGAATCGAACAGAGCAGCAGAGCCACCAACAAAAGCCCCGAAGTGAATCCAGACCATTACCGGTTTCTTAACTTTGGGCGAAGCAGATTCTGGAACATATACATTTAAATGTAAACAATCTTCTGATGTTTCCTTATTTTCTAGCTTATCCCACATCTCTGGCAAAACGTTGGTATCCTGGATACAGGACGGTCCAAATTTAGTGCCGTCTAGAGTGTCTGTCCACGGTTCTACGGGAACAGGCTTCTCAAATAGGAGTTTACCTACGGGAATACGGGATGTTGGCATTGTACGTCCTGTCCGGGATGTTGACGGGAATTGTATTGGGACGATTGGCCCTGTCAACGAAGGCCAACCACAACCGGTACAACCACGCCTCTGACGGGACCTAAGGGAGTGTTGACTATTGGGACAGACTGGCCCATAGACGCCACAACAACGAAGGCCAACCACAATTTGACTATTGGGACAGACTGGCTCATAGACGCCACAACAACGAAGGCCAACCACAATGTTAACATCGGGATCATGGTGGTTTCTGGAAAAAATATATACATACTTTTATCGCTGAAAAGTCTTTACCCAAGTCAATGAGGTTATCTTTAGATACCAGTGACAGGGTGTTGTTACATGTTATATCACAAGAGGCCTATAAAGATAGGTTGATACGTTAGGTTCAGGGACTAGGATATTCGGGTATGTATTTATTGGAAATTTGGATTGCTATGTCTAGGACTATATGCAGTTATATTCAGTATACAATTAGCTGTGATGGTGCAAATCAGAATTTTATATGATTGTCATTCGCAATAGTTTCACTCTATTCTGGTTTGTTTCTGGTACGACTCAATGTTATACTGTAGATCGGCACTACAAAGTACGGTGTTTTCTCTATGATTTTCATTCTTTTTCCTTGTACAGAGTTTCAACTGTGTATATTAACATACTTTATTGATACAAATATTAAACGACCAATTCTGGTAGTACTCTTTGTTAAGCATACTATTGTGACGTATGTGTATACTGTGATAATGACGCAATAGTATTATCACATATTTATGTATAACGTCTGTAATACCGACTGCAATAATGGATGAAAAAAATACCAGAAATATTGTAGAAATATTGTCCTCGATACAATTGTGAAAAATCTCCAACACGTAGTACTGTCATGACAGTATAATGTTACTAGCTCGATACATCGGGAATGTTTCACTCACCACGTGCTTCCGAAGCTGGCAATCGACGCCGTATTTGTGTATGCCTGATGTATACCTTTCACGACGAACTCTCAGTGTGCCTGTGCGTGTTGTTGAGGCATCCTGTTGTAAATACACTGTATTCTAAATTTGATTGTTTGTATTTATCATACTTGTGTCTTTTAATCTTGTTCATACCGCTGTATCATTTCCGTGTTCGCGTAAGCGTTCGTGAACTTTCATTATGTCGCGTATACATGTACGTTATGTTTAGTTGGCCCTAAATGATTTAGTGTTGTTCTAAATGGCAGTTTACAACAGAGGATGTACCGTCCTTCTGTTCGGATGTCCTGAGAGTTTATAATAAAAAAATCTACCGTCCTGCGGTTTGGATGTCCTGAGTGACAGTTTATAACAGAAGATGTACAGTCATACTTTCTTAATGTCCTGACTAATGGTTTATAACAGAATATCCAATGTTCTCCTGTTTCGATGTCTTGACTAACAGTTCATAACAGAACATGTACTGTCGTCCTGTTTGGATGCCCTGACTGATGGTTAATAGTAAAAGATAAACCGTCCTCCTATTTGGATGTCCTGATTGACAGTTTATAGCAGAAGATGTAACGTCCTCTGGTTTGGATGTCCTTGCTTAGATGTTTTAAATTCATATCATAAATATCTTATTAAAAGAAATACGAAAGCTTGTAGTTGTTCATGTTACTTTAATTATAGTATCTACTATCTAAAACAAAGTTTTTTTTTTAATTTTTCTATTTTCATACCAATCATCAAATCCATGTTTACATGACGAATGATAAAAAGAAATGATTCTGATGTAAAATCTATCCACTAACGATGACCAATATTGGTCGAAGCACCGAAAAGTGAATGGAAGGGCTCGTTGGATTTTTTACCCTTAAGGTAATACCACATGAGAAGCATTTATATCAGACTTTGCCTGAAAGACAACACCTATATCTTATCCCGGTCTGGCTTACGTACATCATGTCTCTGGTACCTAAATGATCACATTAGATGTCTGAGGGATGATCAGAATGCAAAAGTGTTTCTTTTCCAGCACCCAGCATCATTCAGTGATCCAAATTCACTGTTCAATTGACTTGTGGTACTACTTCCCGATTTTTTATCTGGTCCACATATTTTACTTGAACCCAGTATCATAACTTGTGGTTCAATCCTAATCACCTCCTGTAAACCTTTATCACATAACTCTTAGTGTTTAAACCCTGTGGTCCTTTCCCCTAACTGCGACACTATGTCACATGAATATAAGCTTTGTAGCCTGGTCGCTGGCTGGGACATTTTATTACTCAACTCCCAAATATTCCTGATCACTGATTCGGATCCTTTATCACAAGAACCCCAGCCTTGTAACTCTACGGTCCTAGTCCCTGATATTTGATTGATATATCACATGATTGGAACTTGTCCCTGATAATTGATTGGGATATATCACATGACTTCCTGATCCTTGTGACCCTACGTAGTACCTGATATTTGCTTGGTCCCAGCCTTGTGACCCTATAATTGATTGGGACCCTATATCACATAAATCTCAGTCTTGTGACCCTATGGTCCTAGTTCCTGATTACTGATTACAAAATAGTCTCCAAGATCTGCAATGCATACAGTCTAATAGATTACAAAATCATGTCTAACACTAGAATCACACCTCACTCAAACACCTTTGTGTACTACAATTCAGTTTTGTGACTTTGTCGGATTCTATTTGGAATGTCTTCCCGTAGAAACTTGATGCGCTCTTGGTATAGATCTTGACCTAGTTCTGGATCGACCTTCAAATCCATGTAGTAGCGCCCTCTATTACTGAATGTCTTCCACGGAATCAAACTGGGACCATTTGGGTTTCTGTAAATAATAACAATGAGTTAATAGGCATAATCTTGAAAAATCCGCTGCATTCAAGAACTTCGATAACTTCAATGAATGCAAATAAACACATGATGATATATCAAAGAGATGTGTAAACCATCTACGGGTAAAAGCATTACGTCAATAACATCTTAGTATCATAGTATTTGTCTCTACTGTAACTAAAGTGTTTTAACTTGTGTTCTCTGTGTAATTCATTGTAGTGTGTCACACCTGATAGTGTAACTGTAAACGTAAGTGTACCTAATTTTGTGCTGTCAAATTTTAGCGCTTTAGAATTTATCGGCAATTCGCAATGATAAATCCTATCAATAACCTAACCGCAATAATCGTTAAATGACTACAAATGAAATTTGTTCTTAAAATCAGATTACAGCCTAAATGTGCTCTTCACATTACATAAATATTGCATGTGATGATGTTTCTTTATCGCGTGCAATCGTGATATTATTTGATTTTTATATATTTGTATGGGAAATTTAAAACATTAAAACTTAAATTTAATTTCTCTTGAGACTGATTACCTCTTTGGGGGGATTGTAATTTTCCCTCCACATCGATGGAGTTTTAAGGTTTTTACCAAACCTTCTTTCTTGACCGTAATAAAACTTACCCTGTTTTGGCGAAGTTAGTCCAATAGGATACGACCGTGTCTCTTAGTGATATCGCTGCCGTACTTTGTAAGGATTCGTCATCACTAATCCCTGATGGACCGAACATGAACAGACAATCCACGGCATGATCTGCACCCTTAGACCAGGGGAAACTTGGCGTAAGAAAGGAAAAGTGGATTTCTTGTGTGAACAAGTAATGGTAGGTGTTGGAATCCGTTTTCCCTTCTGAATGAAAGTCAAGAAGAGACACTGTTGGAGCGACAAATTGTAAGTCACCGTACAAAGCCGCGAGACTTCTAGACTGGTCCACTAAATTGTCCTCCTTATATCTTTCACATATCATGTCGGACACGACAGTATTGTCTTCATACTTGTCTCTGGCTATCGCTGGTGCGAATAGGTCACACAACACAGAGGTAGGTATACCTTCAGACAGTTGGAAGTTCATGGGCTCCTGCAAGTGGAAAAGTATAAACGGAAGCAGCGAAGCTTCATTGTCTGTAGTTCCTGCTATCAAATCCACAGATTGAAAGCGTTGGAATTCCTTGGAACTGGGATCTTTTAAGCTTTCCATAGGTCTCCTTACAATTAGATCATCATCTACGACTGGCCAGAGATGAACGGACATAGAGAAACCACCGGAGTGCAAAGTCGCGGGGTCTAATTGCGCTATGAGCAAATCTTCAGCAGATTTTGTCTTCAGACAACTTACCAGAGCCTCGTTGTCAATGGATGAGTTGGTGATACATCCAACATGACTACCAACTTTCTCCGTAATTTTCATTGGGTTCTCGCTTAAAAATAAAGGACCTGCTGTGCTTCCGCTCTGAGCGATAGCCCTCTGGAATAACCCTTCAGTCAATGGAATAAGAGACAAGAAAGAAACAGCAAAGGCTCCTGCCGACTCCCCAAAAATGGTAACCATGTTCGGATCACCTCCAAAGGATGCTATGCTTTTGTTCACCCATCTTAACGCTTCGATCATGTCCCAGAGTCCGTAGTTGCCTGGAAGTTTGGAATCTCCTGAACTTAAGAATCCAAACAGCCCAACACGGTACTGAATGGTCACTACTACTACATCTTTCAGAACAAAGTACGAAGAATCGTACAGAGCAGCAGAACCACCAACAAAAGCCCCGAAGTGAATCCAGACCATCACCGGTTTCTTAACTTTGGGCGAAGCAGATTCTGGAACATATACATTTAAATGTAAACAATCTTCTGATGTTTCCTTATTTTCTAGCTTATCCCACATCTCTGGCAAAAAGTTGGTATCCTGGATACAGGACGGTCCAAATTTAGTGCCGTCTAGAGTGTCTGTCCACTGTTCTACGGGAACAGGCTTTTCAAATCGGAGTTTACCTACGGGAGGTTTGGCATACGGGATGTTACGGAATTGTAGGACGTCCTGTCCGAGGACCGGTACAACCACGCCTCTGACGGGACCTAAGGGAGTGTTGACTATTGGGACAGACTGGCCCATAGACGCCACAACAACGAAGGCCAACCACACAACAATGAAGGCCACAACAACTAACAACAATGTTAACATCGGGATCATGGTGGTTTCTGGAAAAAATATATACATACTTTTATCGCTAAACAGTCTTTACCCAAGTCAATGAGGTTATCTTTAGATATCAGTGACAGGGTGTTATTACATGTTATATCACAAGAGGCCTATAAAGATAGGTTGATACGTTAGGTTCAGGGACTAGGATATTCGGGTATGTATTTATTGGAAATTTGGATTGCTATGTCAAGGACTATATGCAATCATATTCAGTATACAATTAGCTGTGATGGTGCAAATCAGAATTTTATATGATTGTCATTCGCAATAGTTTCACTCTATTCTGGTTTGTTTCTGGTACGACTCAATGTTATACTGTAGATCGGCACTACAAAGTACGGTGTTTTCTCTATGATTTTCATTCTTTTTCCTTGTACAGAGTTTCAACTGTGTATATTAACATACTTTATTGATACAAATATTAAACGACCAATTCTGGTAGTACTCTTTGTTAAGCATACTATTGTGACGTATGTGTATACTGTGATAATGACGCAATAGTATTATCACATATTTATGTATAACGTCTGTAATACCGACTGCCATAATGGATGAAAAAAATACCAGAAATATTGTAGAAATATTGTCCTCGATACAATTGTGAAAAATCTCCAACACGTAGTACTGTCATGACAGTATAATGTTACTAGCTCGATACATCGGGAATGTTTCACTCACCACGTGCTTCCGAAGCTGGCAATCGACGCCGTATTTGTGTATGCCTGATGTATACCTTTCACCACGAACTCTCAGTGTGCTTGTGCGTGTTGTTGAGGCATCCTGTTGTAAATACACTGTATTCTAAATTTGATTGTTTGTATTTATCATACTTGTGTCTTTTAATCTTGTTCATACCGCTGTATCATTTCCGTGTTCGCGTAAGCGTTCGTGAACTTTCATTATGTCGCGTATACATGTACGTTATGTTTAGTTGGCCCTTAATGTTTTAGTGTTGTTCTAAATGGCAGTTTATAACAGAGGATGTACCGTCCTTCTGTTCGGATGTCCTGAGAGTTTATAATAAAAAAAATCTACCGTCCTGCGGTTTGGATGTCCTGAGTGACAGTTTATAACAGAAGATGTACAGTCATACTTTCTTAATGTCCTGACTAATGGTTTATAACAGAATATCCAATGTTCTCCTGTTTCGATGTCTTGACTAACAGTTCATAACAGAAGATGTACTGTCGTCCTGTTTGGATGCCCTGACTGATGGTTAATAGTAAAAGATAAACCGTCCTCCTATTTGGATGTCCTGATTGACAGTTTATAGCAGAAGATGTAACGTCCTCTGGTTTGGATGTCCTTGCTTAGATGTTTTAAATTCATATCATAAATATCTTATTAAAAGAAATACGAAAGCTTGTAGTTGTTCATGTTACTTTAATTATAGTATCTACTATCTA